TAAATTGCTACATTATAGTACTAATAACAGTAATATATACTACCTCCGTCCCATAAAATTCTTCCCACCCTGACTTGGCACGGAGAGTAAGAAAGTAGATATGTATGGTTGTGGTTGTGTATGAAAAAGATGAAATGAATGTGAACCACACAAATTGTCCAAAAATGATAAGTGGGAAGAATTTTTTGGGACGGCCCAAAAAGAAAAGTGGGAAGAATTTTATGGGATGGAGGGACTAAGTAATAATGTGCTATGCTATAAAATTCCAAAACCCGTTTGATAACTGTTACGTTCGGCTTGTTAATTTTAACAATCAACTTTTTTTTATCAATTTCTTAATTTTTAGTTGGCTAAAGGGTCAAATAGGTCCCTGTACTCATATCAATAGCTCAATTGGGTACCCGAACTAAAAAAAGGTTCAATCCAATCCTCCAACTCTTCAAAATCGTTCAATTTTTTCGTTTTTTCAAAGGCCAAAGGGTCAAATAGGTCCTTGTACTCATATCAATAGCTCAATTGAGTACCGGGAGTTTACCTTCAATTGAACGATTTTGAAGAGTTGGAGGATTGGATTGGACCTTTTTTTAGTTCGGGTACCCAATTGAGCTATTGATATGAGTACAGGGACCTATTTGACCCTTTAGCCTTTTTAGTTTAGCACGTTGCATTGTGTAACCATCAAAATGAGTAGGTTAGAGTCACTTTTTGAATGAATTGGCTGAAATGCTGCATGTGGGTATTTTAGCTATACTTTCATATTAATTTGTTTTATTTTATTAATAAAGTAAATTTATTTTTCACAATTCAACAGATTAAGCCGTCTTTGTCTAAATTTCATCAATTTTAGTAAATTTAGACAATTTAGACAATTCAGACAATTCCAATGTTACCAAACGACCTATTAAAGTACTACTATGTAAGCTTGACAAATTTGCTTTTAGTAGAAGCAACGCTTGAATAAAATTCAAAAATAAGATTGAGTGTGTTTTTTCCCCAAAATGGGACTCCTAGCAATGTATAGAGATTGTGTATTGCTCGTCGGTATAACCGCTCAAATGATGAACATAATTTTGTTGTTGTTGGTTAGCAAGACTTGTCTAACCAAACTTTTCTACGATGTTGACTTTTGATACTAGTGTGACACCTCACTTATTCGCCCTCCTTTTGAACCAAGCTTTTCTACGATGTTGACTTTTGATACTAGTGTGACACCTCTTTTTTTTGAGGAAGATATTGCTTGGCTAAAAATCATTCATGCGGTTGGTCAAACCAATGATTAGACAATTTTTCGTAGCTTGTCAAACTGAGGATTCTAGTAATTCCTCTTTTATGTAGGAGAAACAATAAGTCACTACAAGAATTTTGACATAATATGACGATGAAATTTGTCACAAAAGGTTCATTATTCGTCATTAAAACTTTTCCATGACGAATTAGGAGCGTCACAGTGATCGTCACCGTAGCTCCGTGGCAAAAGGTATAAATGACAATTTTTGAATTCGTTACTATTTATTTATTTTTATGACACTTTAGTTTATTGTAACCATTACTGATCATCTTTAGTGACGCCTAATGCGTCACTTTTAAGTTTATTTTTTTGTCACTTATGTATGAATTTCGCCATCTATACTTGAGACTATACATGACAAAATTGTATATTGTAACCAATATAGTTATTTTTAATGACACTTTAGTTCATCGTAACCATTATGATCGCCTTTAGTGACGCCTAATGTGTCACTTTTAAGTTGATTTTTTGTCACTTATGTATTAATTTCGTCATCTATACTTGAGACAATAAATGACGAAATAGAATATTTTCAATAAAAATCAACTTAAAGTGACGATTCAAGATATATATATATATATATATATATATATATATATATATATATATATATATATATATATAGGGAAGAGTTCAAATGAAAAGTGATCTTCCCGTGCAAAGTGCAAAGTTTTCACTTTTTCATGTTTCGCTTGCACTTTTTGTTGTTTGCGTTGCACTTTTTGCCCATTTTGATTTTGGCCAAATTCGGCCAAAATGACGGTGGCAGTTTTGTAATAAACCAATTTTTTTGAGCTATCGCGAAAAAGTGCAATGAAAGCAAAAAAAAGTGCAGGCGAAACATGAAAAAGTGTAAATTTTTCACTTTGCACGTTAAGACCTCTTTTTATTTGAATCATCCCCTACACACACACACAATCAAATTATTCAATTGCAGTTAGAGGCAATAAAGTTGTCATATTTTTTAATGTTGAAATATAGAAATTTTATTAAATGCAAAAACAGGATACAGAAGAGGGGGGACTAAACCAACACCCTCCGGAAATACAGAACATGGCCTAACCCTTGATTTAAGTGGTACAATAACAAAAATGAAAGTTATATCTCTACAAAAGACGCCTAATTAGAGCTATACATCTAGAAAAGACGCCTCTAGAAACTTGAAGCATCGGTTAATCATGCTTGGTAGCTTCCCTGACAAGTGTAGATGACTAAGATTCCAATCACTTCTTTCTGCTTCTTCTTCATCTTCTCGTTTCGTTCGTAATTTTGTTGTGCGTTTCTGCACCAAAATCCTTTAGTTATTTTATTAGATAAAAACATTACAAATCAAATGCTAAGAAATACAAACAATAGACTAAATATTGCGATGTGCAACGCCATTAGGATATTTACATCTTTGTAGTATTAGATGTTGCACTTTATAATTCTTGGTTGTCAAGGTTATTACATGTTGAACTTAAGAAGTAGACTTCCATGTCAAAATTGTATGCCCCATAAGTATTATGTTAGTTGCTTAACTATAAAATTACATGTTGCACTTTATAATTCTTAGGTGCACTCTTTTAGCTATGGAGGAGACCTAAGGAAATAATATCAAATAATATTTTATAGAGAAAGAATGAAGGTGACTAATATTGTTTGTCAGGACATGGCCGATACCAGTTGAAAATATTACCATTTGAAGAAACTCATTCCAAGAGTATGGCTGGATACCCATGGAGACAGCCATATCCTTCTCTTGTATTGTTAACGAAGTGAGACAAACAACAACCACAACACACATCAAGCTTAGTGACAACAATGTACTCCGGCAAAAACAACTCAATGGGAAGGAAATCATACTCACGTTTAAGCCGTTTCAAGTGAGTACATTCATCACTAAACAGCTGCAAGTTCAAATATTTAAACAAATCAGATACACAACACAGGAAATCCAAACCAAACTAAATGCGGAAAATGATCCTTACTTCTTTCACTTTCTTGTCTTGGACAAAAACTACATCAACCTTCGATCCTGCATAGCAATGTTTAAAAAAGTTATACAATTTCTACCCGAAAACATTTTCTATCAATGCAAAATAAAAGAAGCATCCCGTACCAAAGGTGTCATAGAGTGGAACACAGATAACGTTCTTGGCACTGCAGGCCTGCACACATAAGGCAATAAAAATACGGAGTATCAGATTATGCTCTTTTAAGAAACAGGGCAGCCACAAACATAATAAATAAAAACATAAGTAAATAGATAAATAAGTAAAAAAATATGAGATGAATTTTCTATAACCTCCATTGCCACGATCCACTGAGGGCAATTGGATCCATAAATTCCAATACGAGCACCCTAGCATAGAGTAGAATTTTTATTTTCAATGCCTCTTTAGATATAGTAGAAGCTATACGTGCACAAAAAAATTTACGCAAGTGATTATTCGCTTACAGGTTCAACACCATGCGCTCGCAATGCTGAACCAGCCTGTAGAATTTCTTCAAACACTTCACTGTAGGTTTTCCAGAAATATGGACTCCGCTGAAAGAAAGAACTTATATGAGTTAATGTTCATACAAAGCTAGTGTTTAAATAATTTGTCCAACAACGGTTAAATATGAAATAACAAACTAACATATTAAAACTTTAAGGTTCTGTGATAGACGTCAACCGAATGAGAGAAGTATAACCGTATAAGGCTTATTCTGCTTATCAACCTAACTTTTGGCTTATGCTTTACCTTTAATAAAATTCCTTCTAAACCAAACAACTCTTGCCAAATAGCCCCATACAAACTATAGGTATCAGACCAATTTCGAGTGTACCTTTCCCTTCATAAGTTCTCACCACTCCAACATTTTATTTTTTAAATGCTTCTCTAGAGAATCTATGTTCATCAATGTGTTATATAGGTTTTATGAATGTAACAAGCTGGAGTACATTAAAAAGATTTCATGTGCTTCTTCAAATTAGTGAACGAAAAAGTAAGAATAATTTACTTTAAGAGTTCCCAGGCAGTAGATAAGTCAGGATTAGTAGGATAAAATGCATCCTTAGTCAAGAGGTTTCGGTATACGGGGGCCACTGATGGCTGCCCATCACGAACTTCCATCCCCTCCTTGACCTTTACAGCAGACATCTGTGATAATGTGTAGGTAAGTAAGATGTAATAAACTATAATGTACTTGATCAAAACTACCAACATGCATAGTTATCAAATATCACAAGTCTTACTTGACCCCTGGAGACCATTCTATTTATACCAAGATGAATTAATTGTTTGATGATCCCTCAACAACACTTTCTGAGTTCTGAGTGGCTATGCTATATGCAGCGGTATGAATAGTGTACTTCTAGTTCAGAGACAATCATGTAATCAACAGTGTAATGGTTTACAGCCCGTTCAAAAAAAGGGTAACTAAGCTATAGTGTACGTTTATTATTCAAACAACGAGTATCCCAATCTTGGCAAGAAACAATCTGATTCACCACAGAACCCATCTCGAGTCACTTATCACCAGATTAAGTAAAAATTGGGGGAAAACGGAAATCAAAAGAATTACATGTCGAGTTGCAGCTAGAAGTCACTTATCACCGCTGACTGTCCCAGTAATTTTGGTTACGCACATGCCCGGTTGCCGTCTTTATCGTGTTCGCATCGATCCATGTCGCCCTCGCAGGCTAGTAGCACGACAGCAGTAGCCCATTTGGAATTTATGAGGATGGTAATGATATTTCCTTTTTAATCCCTGTGCCAGGTCGTTTAGGACTTGAGAATTACGAGTAACAGAGTATTAAAAACTACGTATTTTAGGGAATACCGTAGATGACCGAATCGGCCTCAACTCTCAAACTTGAAGTTTTTAGTTTAAATGCCTCACTTGATTGAGTCTATTAAATTATGGAGTATGAAAAATTATACTCCGTCCTTAAAATAAAAAAAATTATGGAGTATGAAAAATTTATAAAAGTATTATACTAAATTGTTTTTATTATTAAAAAATCAAAAGTTATATGATAATGTAGCTAAAATTTTCTGATTGAACAAATTATGACAAATTTGTATTTATCGTCATTAAAGGGAGAATTAATGACAAAATAATATTGTCATTATATTATAAAACAATTTATGACAAAATATGATGTTGTCACTAAAAAGAAACCTTGTATGACACAATATATTGTCACTATTTATCGTCAAATTGTCATTAATATGTTTCCCACCAAAATTTAGGCGCCAAATTTGAAATAATAAAACTAAAGTGACACATTTCATTTTATCGTCACAATTTATGTCAATTTGTGACGAAAAGTGAAACTTAAAGTGACATGCGTTGATATTGTCATATTTATTCACTTTACAATGACGAATTTCAAATTTGTAACTATTGTACAACAAAAGATTGACAAAAAATTGTGTGTCACATAGAATTTTGTCATAAAATGTGAGATTTCTTGTATTGACTTTTATTATTTTCTTATCGGTTATTTCCTCATCGGACGATGATGAAACCGATTTATATGATTGTTTTTTTCTCCGTGGAATATTTTGACTAGTCTTGATCACAACAATTTAGATGGAAGAGTCATCTATCTACACTATGAGTCTATGATGGCCATGGTTTAGCGAACCATTGTGCTTCAATTCTTGGAGATGTTTTGGGTTCATGTCCGTAGCCTAAAGCTATATATGTGAAAATTCTTTGGCTGTTGTTATTTTCAGCATTAAGAAACAGTACTACGTGAGTGTTTTGTCCATGAAAACGATAGTGATTGAACTGGAGAAGAGAGGCCTTCCTTCCGTATTCAGAGATGGGGTCGGAAAGTAGGCTATTACTGCTATGGAGTATTCCGTATATGCAACTGTCCGTACCAGTGAACAGATCGCTGGAGATAATAAGTGCGTTCATAAATGAGAACACTGAATGCATTTTAATATACAGCGCAGCGAAGTGTATTGATGGGAACCCACCCCTTTGAAGTAAACAAATATTTCCTTCATATTAGTATGGACTATTTATTGCACATATATACATGTACCCCATATGAACACTGTCAGTAATTTTCTCTCTACCATAGCTACATTTACTCCTCTCCATATGGATTTGATTTCATTACAACACATACAATATATATACGTCACTACAAAAAAAAAACACGGGATTGGGAGGGATTTGGCAGATATTTTGGCAGGGAAATGCCAAATCCGTGCCAAAAACACTTTGACACGAGCTATTTGGTACGAAAAATCGGTAAGTCCGAACCAAATTCCGTGCCAATCCCGTAATTTTTTTGTAGTGATATAGTAATACATGAAGTATATGTAGTAGTTATAGGTTGATTTTTCTTAATGTCATGTATTATTTCATATTGTAAGAGGTGCATAACTTTTAGATTTTTAAATTTGTATACTTTAAACTTTTAGATTTTTCCATCATTTGCAATGGAGCCAAAGATTCATTATTTTTTGGCTTGAGATTAGGATGGAATAAAGCAAAATGGCTCACTAAACTATATGCGCTTCTTTGTTATGAAACATCAGTCAGTCCATGCAATTTTGGATGAGATTTTCACTATGGGTCATCCAGAAACAGTCTCTCTGTGCTTTAGTACAGGGGTAAGACTGCGTACATCCAACCCCCCTTACCCCACCGTAGGTGGGAGCCTTTACGGCACTGGGGTAAATGAAAATGAAAATGAAAAAACTTTAAACATTACAAAACTTATATTTAACTTAATTATCTAGTTGCACGAAAACGTGGAAATCATAGGGAAACATGGAAGGATAAACATCATTGTTTAATACGGAGTACAAGATAGAGAGAATTTCCTAAATAGGAGTAAAAAAATTTGAAATTCCAAAATAGGAGTATCATGTTTTTTATTCCTTGAATAGGAGTAAATTTCTACCAAGTTTGGTATTACTAGGCTTTAAAACATGACATTTTTTTCCAAACTTTGCAGATTAGTCTTATTCAAGGAATAAACAACATGATACTCCTGTTTTGGAATTTCAAAACGTTTTTTCTCCTATTTAGAGCAATTTCTATAGAAGATAATAAAAAATTATAAAGAGAAACGGAAATGCACTTTGAGTTTCCCTTCTTCAGGTCATACCTCATAAGTGTACGTATAGTTACTTCTTGGCAGGTTACCATCATATTATCTTGCAATTGGGACGTTAGTCACTGTATTCATTGACAAATGGTAAAAAACATTTTACCATATATATGCATTTGCTTTCACGTAAACTATTCACCAAATTTGTTTCCTTTAATTTACATAAATTCACAAGTGACCCCATGTAAATAGTTTGGTTTTGTGAATTTTATTGTATTGGACCAACTGTGATTGATTTAGGCCTGTGTTTAAAAAATCTGATTGGACCAAGTGGACCGACCTTAAAAACGGAGAACCGAGTCGAAATCTGGACAATTTATTAAGAGCTCGTTTGCATTATTCAAATAATTGATTGTGCTAATATTTATGATGTAAAATCCCGCTCCATAGGACCCGAGATATTTACTTGTAGACCTTGAGAAACTTCCCAAGTGGACAAGTGGCCACCCATCTCAAGATTACTTCCGTGCAAGCACGCTTAACTTGGATTTCTTAGCTGATAAATTCTTTTAAAAGGTGATGCACCTTGTTCGTATGAGTAGTAATATTAATCATTTTAAATTAATCTCAAGTCTTACATATGAGGTTTTGGCTGAAGTGGTTAGATTGACCGAAAAACAGTTAAAATGATATACTACCGTAACTTCAGCCAATACAACTAGAAAAGTAACTTCAACCATACTTATTATTATTATTATTAAAATTCAACGCGTGAAATAAAAATTTAAGTTTTTGTTGAAAAAGTTTCCTCATAAGTCTGATAAGCCTGATGACAAATGATTTATTAAATTAATGTGATGTGGTTTACTCTCAAACGGACTCGAAAAAAATAAGCACCAAACGGACTCGAAAAAAACCCCAACTACAATTAATCTTTAGAATTTATCTATATGTTTTCAAATTTCAATGCTTAATAAGCATGATCATTATGTGATTATTATTAAAAATAATTAGTTTTTACGTAGTATTTTACTTTGATATGTGCTTAATTGTGTTATACTGTTCCAATTTACTCAGCCATCTTTGAGTTTTCCGGTCAAAAGTGCTAAATTTTGATCAATTATTTAAACTAATATATTTATGCAAAATTTAATAATTTTATACTTTTATGATAATAGTTTTAACAAAGAACATTCTCATATCATTTTCATATTATTAATACTTTCTCTATATAAACATATAATCGGTTAAAATTAGACGTCGTTGACTTGAAAAGTCAAATTTGGATAAGGAAAATGAGACATATTATGATTCTTATTACTCCGTATACAACTTTTGAGCGGGTTGACGTACCAAGCGTTGAGCCGTTGACTAGAGTGGCCCGCCAAGTCCTGTGACTGGCTAACTTGGTCAACTCGCTTCCCTGTCCAGTTTTTAAAACGTACTCCACTAATTTTTAGATACTCCACTAATTTTAGTCTTTAGTCTTTAGTCTTTAGTCTTTAGATACTCCACTAATTTTGATCGATAAACAGTACGATCTAGTAGGTGCCATTAGCACGATGAAAATATCTAGGGGTTTCATCAAGAGATTCAAGAGTATTTTGATATTGGGGTGTCATAGTCTGTAACAAATAATAATAAAAATAAAATGTGAATTAATTTAGAAGTTGTGATATGATACTATACGATTAATGAACTATAATGATTTTCCGAACGCCACAATTGTCATATAATGATTTGGGAGTTTTCCTTGCTTGATAGTTATGTATGTATTATTAGAGAAAAAAATTTTGTATGTATTAGAATGTTTTTGTTTAGACTGAAATTTGATGGTCTGGTCTGATTTAATTTGGTATGATTTGGTCCGGATTGATCTGGTCTAGTCTGATAAACATCTGATCTCTGTGTATTTTATAACTATCCAAGTCTGAACTGGTCTGATCTGATCTGATCTGATCAAGGACTGAAAACAGTCCAAGTAAAAACATTCAACTAAAATGTGTGTGTGTCTCTCTCTCTCTCTCTCTCTCTCTCTCTCTCTCTCTCTCTCTCTCTCTCTCTCTCTCTCTATATATATATATATATATATATATATATATATATATATATATATATATATATATATATATATATATATATATATATTAGAAATTGCCCAATATAGGAGTAAATATTAAAACTTCCTATTAATAGGAGTAAACATTAATTTTGTACCCTTAATATCCCTAACCTAGTTAATTCTAAAATATGACTTATTTAATCCTAACCTAGTTAATTTATGACTTATTCGATAAGAATAATTTATTTATTAATTAATTTTTCAAAAAATAAAAAAATATAATTTTTTTTAAATTTTTTATTTTATTAATATTTTATAAATTTTTTATTTATTTTTCTACGATTTTTTGAATTTTTTTCGAATTTATTAGGAATTAAACAATTAATTAATAGTTGTTGGGGCTTGGGTAGGGGTATACTTGTCCAAACACTAAAGTTACTCCTATTCAAAACATGGTACTCCTATTTTTGCATTTTGCCTATGTTTTGCTCCTATTTGGGGAATTCTCTCTCTCTCTCTCTCTCTCTCTCTCTCTCTCTCTCTCTCTCTCTCTCTCTCTCTCTCTCTCTCTCTCTCTCTATATATATATATATATATATAT